TGCTGTGCATAAGGTTGCTATGAGTCAGTACCGACTCGATGGCACCTAATAACAACAACAACAACAATGTAATAAAATCAGGTATTACAGAAGGTATACAGTAAATAGCCACAGTAAATGTTTTGGTGTGCATCATTACTGAGTTGTTTATTATAATGAATGTATGAATATATGTGGAATCTTCAAAAAGTTCATGGAAAAAGGGAATGATAAGATAATGGAATTTTTCTATGAACTTTGTGATGCTTCCTTATGCATGTGTGTGTGTGTGTATACAGATATGATAAATATGTTCATAGCGTAGTGGTTACGAATCGGGCTGCAAACCGCAAGGTCAACAGTTCGAAACTACCAGGAGAAAGATGAGGCTTTCTGCTCCTGTAAAGATTTACAGCCTTGGAAACCCTGTACAGGGTCACTATGAGTTGGAACCAATTCCATGGCACATAACAACAAAATCAACAAATATATGCATAAGTTATTTGATCAGGATACTACAACAGAAGAGATTTCAGAATACATGTTTAGTTAAGACATTGTGTGCGTAGGAGAGTGATGATAGACAGTTACAGCTACACATGTGCTTCTTTAGCTTCACTACTTAGTCTGGTTAGTGCTCCATGGGTGCTGTGGATCTTGTGTGGTGAATCTGTAGCTGTAGTTCATGTGCACAAGCAGCTGCTATATACTACTCACGCATAGGACTGCATATTGATTCATTAAAAATGGGAAATTACAAAATAAAAAAACCCAATTGATCCCTCACCACAGATATTTTGAGAACAATTATTATTATTTTTTAACCTCAACAATATCACTGCAGTATATATAGAGAGGCCTTGGGAATCGTTGTGCCTGGCCTTGAACTTGAGTTGTGACTTTCCCTTGTCCTTGCTGTCTCCCAGGTGGTGTGCTTGTACCAGACTCTTGGTAACCCCCTCAGCAAGCTCACCACACTAAACAGCATGCACTCACACTTCATCTTGTGTGATGATGGGACTGTGGGCAAGTATGGAAATGAAATGAAGCTCAGGAGGAATCTGGAAAAGTACCTATCTCTGCAGAAAATACACAGCCGTGAGTACCATTGGATCTCTGTCAATGTGTCCTAGCTGAGGGAGTGTTTGGGAGTTAGCGGGGAAGAGGGTCCGCTGTGAGCAACGTGTCTTGGCAGCTATAGAATGTTGTTAGTTGCCATTGAATTGGATCCTGATTCATAGTAACCCATCTACAACAGAACAAAACCCTGCTTGGTCTTGCAGTATCCCTCTACTTGGTTGTGAATTGAGCTTTTATGACCAATCATTTACTGGCTAATTTTCATAAGTATATTGCAAGGGCTTTCACCTAGTCTATCCTAGTGTGGAAGCTCCACTGAAATCTGTTCAGCGTTGAAGCAACACACAAGTCTTCAGTGGCAGTTGGTTGGGTGATAGCTGCACATGAGCTGTACTGGCTGGGAATGAAACATGAGAGTCCTGCATGAAAGGCAAGAATTCTGTTCTGGGACAGTCAGAGAGATTAAGTGGATGGTCAATACAAGTCCATTTTAGCTCACTAATGCACAAGATATCGATCGATCTTTATGCATTCCATTACATATTTGACAACTTCCAATTTTTCATTGATTCATACTTTCTACGTTTCACATTCCAGTTATTAATGGATGTTTGCAGCTGTTTCTTCTCATTTTGAGTTGTATGCCATCAGCAAATGAAAGTCTTGAAAGCTTTGCTTCATTCATGTCATTATGGTCAACTCTGTGTTGAAGAGGCAGCTCTTTCCTAGTCCTATTTTGGGTGCCGTCCAACCTGAGGGTCGCTTCTCCTGGCATTATAGCTGACTAAAGTTCTGATGCTGTTCATAATGTTTTCTTCCTCTGGCACTATGTCTGACAGCATTTCACTGCTAAGGTTTTCAGTGGCTTATAAGAGTTGATCCACCTCTTCTTTCTAATCTTAGTCATGAAGCTCAGCTGAAACCAGTCCACCAAGGGTGACCATGTTGGTATTTCAAGTACCAATGGCATGGCTTCCAGCATTACAGCAGCATGCCAGCCAGCACACTATGAAAAGTTGATAGATGAGTGGTGGATTCTTCATTATTCCCCCCTAAGATGAGTGGTGGTTTCTTTAGTTGCATAGTGGTTACGAATTGGGCTGCGAGCATCAAGGTCAGCAGTTCGAAACTACCAGCTGTTCCGCAGGAGAATTTCTGCTCCTGTAAAGATTTACAGCCTCGGAAACCCTGTACAGGGTCGTTATGAGTTGGAGCCGACTCGACTCCACGGCACATAACAACAGTAACAACAATGGTTTAATTGGAGTCCTGGTGTGGCGCTGTGGGTTAATGCGCCAGACTGCAAAGCCATTTGAACTGCAAGGTTGGTGATTCAAGCTCACCAGCTGCTCCTTGGAAACCCTATACAGGGTCGCTATGGGTCGGAATTGACTTGACGGCACTTGACAACAACAAGAATGTTTAATCATATGGTTTCTATGCCAGGTATGACAAGTTAAAGATGAATATTCATCATTAAAATGAACATTTCAAGATCTATATTGAAGTACAGTCCTGTCACTGATAAGATAATACCCATAAACCTGTAAGGAAGATGTTAGAACCACTACTATTCTAAGGTATGCGTTAGCCACTAAAGCAAAAGATGAAGAAATTGACGAATTCTATCAATTTGTTCAGTCTGAAATTGATCATATATGCAATCAAGATGCCTGATAATTACTGTTGATTGGGATGTGAAAGTAGAAAAAAAAAAGAGTAAGCATTAGTAGTTGGAAAATTTGGCTTTGGTGATAAGAATGAAGCTGGAGACACTGTGATAGAATTTTGCATGATCAACACCTTATTCATTGCAAATACCTTTTTCAACATGAATAGCGGTTATACATGTGGACTTTACCAAATGGAATACAAAGGTCTCAAATTAACTACATCCCACCTGAATTTAGAGATCATCTGAAGAACAGATTTGATACATTAAACACTAAAGACCAAAGACCAGAAGAGTTGTGGGATGACATCAAG